ATTTTAATGCAGTGTGAGGTTCCTTACTCTCTTCCCTTTAAAAAAATAAAAACTTGCTGTAAATACTTTTCTCAGGTGCTTTGAAAGTCGGAAAAAAAGGTTGATTTGAATAAAAATACATTAAAAAAATAATCGAGTTGTTCTAAATATTTCTTCCATTAAATTTTTAAATAAAAAAATGAAAATAAAATAAAATGTATTCTTTGCAAATAATGTGTTAATATATTGGCTAACGAAATCTCTGGATTTCAGATTGAAAAGGGCTGCTTCATGGTATTGTCTGCTTTTTTTCACAATTATTCTTTTGCGCACTGGAGTACTTCATCATGTGATGTAATGTACACCCACTGTGCCCAGAGATAAAAATGTAACATCCATATGTACGCATATTCAGTAGGGAATGAGGAACTACCATAAATCACAGGGCTGTTTGTTTCTGGGCTGCATAATTTTGTTAAGATGTCAGTACAAAGAGATATAAGGTTGTCCTTTACATAAACTTCTTTGCTGGAATCAAACAAGACCAATGTTAGAACAGCACAAATTTAAGTGGTTCCGTTTTATAAGCTAACTTACTGTATATACTGTGGAAGCTACAGTACACTGTGGGTGATACTGTATGTACTGTAAAAGACTGCAGCCTTTGTCTCACCATGTTGCGGCACTGTACTAACCTCTTCAAAGATTTGGAATAAAAGTCATGGTATTCACATACTGTATACTGTATACTGTATACTGTACAGGATATAGGTCTGAATAATTGAACGCTATTTTTACAAGAACAGAATTTGACACCCCTTAATAATGTGTAAAAAGCTTGAATTGAATAACACCTTGGACTTTGTTTGGAAGAACAGTTGTGCAACCACGTTTTAGTGTTGATCTTAATTTAAGTTCTAAACAAAAGCTAGAGTGTTCTGGAATGATACAGAATCCTGCAACAGAGTTTTTGTTATTTGCATTGTATCTTTAAATGTGTCATTGAAGCATTGGGTTCAATAGAGATTTGAAAGTAGAAGTAAACTTTGAATAACGAGGGTAAGATATTTCTGTTTGAAAAATAAATAAAAGGCAGTGGTGCTTGGGTTTACCATCAAGAAAACATGTCAGCACTTTCAAAAATGTAGAGAATGGCAACAAAACATCCACGTTTGCCAAAGATGAGAGGTCTTTGACACTCTTCACAAATGTTATCACAGGGATGCTTGAGACAAGCCTATGTGATTATAGCTTTTGAAGCAAAGAGCATGTAATGTCATGTTAAATAAACACTGTTCAATGTCTGTGAGAAAAAAAAATCCCCAAACATTACCTCTGCCACCTCATCCAAGTGTGGTTTTAATTGCAAGGCCAAAAGTACAAAACCTAAAACAATAATTAGAAAAACCACAATCAAATCAGTTCTCTTTAAACCAGCCCTGTTGATATTTTATGCCAATTTAATAAATGAGTATGTATAGATATTTTTTTAGCCTTCAAAACAACTTTTTAATTTCCCATTAACAAAAAAAAAACACATTAGCAGAAACAGTGGGGTATAAACATAATGTCTGCAGCCTTGGTTTATAGCAAAACAAGAACTCTATACCTTGAGGTTTTTATAGCACAAATGAACTTAACAAAGCTGAGACAAATCTTATACTTACATGTAGGTTTCCAGTAAGCTTCACGTATTACACTGATTAGAAACATTTGAAATATGTAAATATATACCTTGTATATAGAGAGAGGTTTTAAATACACAACCAATGAGTGTTGGAATGCAATAGCATTTGTTGCATTTTAATACTTTTATCACCTGTTTGTTGAATCTAAGTAATTAAACAAAGGCTTTTGAAATTAGGATTATCTGTATAAACCCGAGGCTGCTCTGGAAAAAGATACAAGTTACTTTAGTTTGATTTTAATTCAGAACAGGTTTGGACACAAGACTTCAGGCCCACCCCCTACATTTCTTAATGTGTTGTTTATTTCTTTGGAAGCTAAAATAGAAAATTGCTGATCCAGTATTCAAGTCCTTTAAGCAGTAGCAGTCTCGTGCCACAAGGTGGCAAGAGCTGATAACTCTGTTGCACAGGCTCGACTGCCTCTCAGTGTGCTTGTAGAAGGCTTCTGAATCTCAGAGCTTTTCATCTGCCCATTGATGCCAATAGAGAAAGCAGTGAGTTAATAGGGGATTCCTTTGAACTTTGAAATTATAACTAATTGAAAAGGGCAGCAGGTGCTCAGAGGGCATCTGCCCAGCTTTGACCTACTGAATTGGACTTTCACAAATGTCAGGGGGGCTGTAGGATTAACTAAACACACACACTTGCAGAATATAGAGACAGACTCACACAAAACTCGGGCTGCTGCTTTTAACTTTTACATTCGGCTTGATTATTACCAGTGTCCTGTTTTGTTTTTTTGTTTTGTTTTGGGGGTGTGCAAATGTTATATTCCATATTCACATTAAAATTCAAGGACAATTTTATTGTTGGAAATACAAAGAAGTGGCTTTAGTCTATGCGCGTATGCGTCTATGGATTGAATCTTAGCTTGTGTAAAGCCAAAAGTGGTTTCAGTATTTTGTTATAATGTTGTGGTTTAGGGTGAATGAGTTAAACATTCTTCTGTATTTTTAATGTTAAAAAATTGATGGAGCCTTATTTATTTCCAAAATGTGGAGTTTTTTTTGTCCTAGTCTCAACTTTCAGCAGAATATGTTACAATATTCAGCTTGCGGTTTTCATAGTTATATACTGCACATATTATTATGATATGAAACCATTCCATCATGCTTGTAGGGTTGTTAGCATGACCCTCCCAGCTATCTTAGTTTATTCCCAGCGACTCAGTATTTTCAGATGCGGTGAGAAACCTAAAAAAAACCCAGACCCCATTTACCATTTGGTAAGAAATATTTCTAAATTTGCCAAATTAGTTATTTAATATGCGTAGAGTAATGTACATGCTACAGAATGAACCTCTGGAAATGTCTATGTGTACTCTTTTTATATGAATTAAAATTTTACTTTATTGTGGATTCTTTGTGAAAATAGATTAAAGTTTCATCTGTTAAAAATGATACAAATACATTCAAGTTCAAAACACGTGGCTCTTTTTTTGTGCTCTTTGGGAATAAATGAGGTCTCTTATTTTCCGTTTTACGTCTGTTGGAAAACAAAAAAAAATAAAATAGAACATAGAACATTGCTCATTCTATAAGCAATGCTGATGTGTTTCTAACAGTAAGTATACTATATATAAATGTATTTATGGGTGACAATAGTAAAAGCCTTTTCCTGTGAGTTATGAAACTGGGTTTCAGTATAAATGTGCGAGTTGTTTCATGGAAGAGAACATTGTTTGAGCCAGGGATTTTGGTGAAAGGCTGAAAGATTTTGCATCAGAAAGGCTGGTCTACTCTGGTGGTCTGGACTGGTTTACAAACAGTTGTGGTGTTTGCAGCACGCCAGAGGTGTGGATGGTAACATCCCTTCGGCAATTTCTCATGCCAGGAGACGGTGGATTTTCCAGTATGGCGGCGCCTTAAAGTGGGTCTCTGGATCCATCTTCTTCCAACTGCCGGATCACTCCAATGTTTGCTTGCCGAAGGAAGTATTTCCTGGGAAAAGCCCTGCCGTAAAATTAGTTTTGCAGGTCTGATAAAATTCCACACCCCGGCACTCACTTCCCAGAACCACCGCATGACTCGGGGTCTCACAGGAGAGGTCAAACGATGTGTAACTTTTTCTGCACAATTAATGAATACACGGGGCTGCTCAACACAGTTCATTTTTTGTCAGTATATTTTTTTAAGTCCCCCCCCCCCAAAAAAAATGTGCACGGTGAAGAATGCAATCGTATATCTAAAACCAAAACAGATATGCTAAATTTGCCTTAAAGTAAAGCCCTCTTGAGGTGTCTTTGAAAAATTGTTTTTGGACTAGGGTCCGCCTGGCTCTCTTGTATGTTTTACATTCTTGATCCAAGATCTTTCTGGAACATTTGCTCTTCAGCTTTCTTATTTTTTTGTTTTGTTTTTGTTATTATGGTTAGTTTTATGATTACTCCTTTGAGCACAGGTCTCTTATATATTTCTGATAGTTACTTCTTGGCCACATCCTCTGTTTAATGTTCTTAATGCTCCAATGACATTTCTTTCATTTTGACTTAAGAATTTCCACTCAATGATTGACGTGTTGATACTTTGGTACTTGTTTTACTATTATTAAGTTCATTCGTCTAAAGGTTTTGTGTACTGTAGAACATTTCAGGACAGAGATTCTTTCACACATTTTCTGATATAGTGGAATAATAGGATTTGTGTAGCACTCATGCTCTAAAAACCGGTGAAGGTGATGCGTTTCATTCAGTGGTACTTGTTGATTAGAGTTTGTTCAGTAAGTGATAGGAGTCCTTCCTACTTCCTCAAAGTGTTGAGGCTGTTAAGGGTACAGTACATTGTTTTACTTGATTTTGGTTTAAATAAAGCATGTTTTCTACTTTATTAATACTTAAATCCATAACAATTTAATTGAACATTTGGAAATAACTGATTCCAGAATATACTTTATTGACTCCAACCTGGATGACACAGGAGTGTGGTGAGGAGCATAGCTACCACACAGTTCTTGGTATAATTGGTGTCTCTCAATTGTCCCTGTCTGCCTGTGTGTGTGTGTGCTACGAAATAGACGTACATCCAAGCTGTGGTCTTTCCACATACTGTACCTGGTGTCTAGTAGGGTAGGCTTTGGCTCACTGTGGCCTGCTAAATATAATGATTACTGGCAACGGCTGGGTGGATCAGTTAAGAAGGTTTCAGCGTGGGCACTGTGACTAATGCTCTTAAAGATACGAATTGATTGTTTTACCTTGCTAATTTTTTTTGTACTTCATTCCAGTGTTTGAAACAAATGTTCCATTAATCAGAATTGAATCGGAGTTTAAGTCTTTCCCATGAGTTCATCACAAATGGTTGATTAATGACATGCCAGCTGAAGTCTTACCCCAATATGTGTGTACGAGTTGGCAGTGATGGTGCTACAGTATGTCCAGTTGAGTGCTCAACTACAAATGCGAAGTTTTCCAAATTGCTTTTGAATAGATGTAATTGAATTTAATTGTTTGAAATTGACTATGAGATGTGGTGCTGTGAAAGTAGAGCACTGTTTGTAATGTTTGGTGTTTAGGCTTCATGAAGTTTTCCCTCACATATCCTACAGTACATATGTTCCTCTCCTGGAGACATGAGCATTTCCAAAGGCATTTCTTTCATTTCCACACTATCAGTATATCCTCCTCCTAGACGCTGTGGGTAGTTTTAAAAATAGATGCATTCAGCATAGAGTGTTAATCGTTGCAATTTAGTAATCAGGATTTTAAGCATGCTTTGTGGCTTTTTTCAGATAATTTTCTGCAGTTTTCCTTGAAGATAAAATATAACCCGAATTTCTTATAAGATAAAAAATAGGAGCCTTATTTGATTCATTTGAAAATGGAGACATTCTTGGACTATCTGTCAATATACCCATGACTGCTATGCACTGTTATCGTCTGTCAGGAATGCTTTGCTTTTACAGCATCGTGATTTGGGCATTTCTATTTATTGCAGTGGTTTTAAATTTAACTTTTTTCTCATGCTGTCTTGTAAATCCTCACTTTTGTGTTATTTTCCTTAGATCTTGTTTGTTGCTAATGTGGTATCAATTTCCTTTCTTCAGGAAAAGAAAAAGTATTGGGCTTATCTGTTTTTCAAGAGTTTATAACTTCATTGCATCTTTGCATTTCAGTCTGTGCAAAACTATTCATTTCATTGGCATAAGCAAAGCTGAAAATCTGGATCCTTTAAGCAAATTTTGAATTTGTTTTTTCCAGTATTTGTTTCCAATCACTTTACCATTGTTAGATTTTTAAAAAATGTTAGACGCTCCGGATTTCCTTTTCCAGTACCTCTGAAATGTTCTTTTTTCTAAAAGAAAAGTTGGTGGGATCACGTTTGTGGAATAAAATAAGATGGGCTGGCAGGGTGGTATGCCAAAACATTCATTAGCAAACAAAAAAAAGTAATAAATGGACAAAACATTTGCACGTCTGTTTTGTTGTTCATTCAAAGATGGAATATTTTCTTTCCATTTTAAAAATAAAAATGATTCAAAGCAAAAATGTTTTTCATTTTGAGTTGAATATATATTACATGTAGGAACAAGTACTGTAATATGTTTATTCCATGCTGAAAAAAAGAAGAAAGAAAACACAACGTTTCGGCCGTGGAGCCTTCTTCAGCCTTCTATAAGACTTCTAACAATACAATTCTTTTCATCTTTCTTGTTTAGATTGAAAATTTGCAAGAACAGCTTCGAGACAAAGATAAGCAGCTCACAAACCTGAAGGACAGAGTGAAGTCCCTCCAGACAGACTCCAGCAACACAGACACTGCACTGGCTACGCTCGAAGAGGCTCTCTCAGAAAAGGTAACAATTGGAAAAACGTTCATTTTGTTCAGCTTGGTCAAAAAATGTACCGGTAAGCGAAAACACAAACAATCTGTCAATAGTAATCAAAACAGGTAGCCCTCATTTCTACCTATTGCTTTCCTTGAACCCTACAACTCAAAATGCTCTAGTGTGCAGTCTAAAATACTGAATATTTCCCTTTAGAAAAACCATACCAAGAAGAATCAAGTCCTTCGTCTACCTGAATATTAGCTGAATCGCATGTGAATGGTAATTAGACCTAACTGGTACCGTTGCCAGTGTTTTTTAAGCCGAACAAGAATCTTTTTAATCTTGTGAATCGTTTTGGCTTTCAGTGACCATAGTTAAAATGAATACAGTGTCTTTGATAGAATTGCCAGTACATTTTTGCAGTTTTTTTTTTTCCATCCTGTACTTTGGCTTTATCTTGCCAAAGGAGAGGATGACAAATGCTTTAAGATTAAAACACGGTTTAAAATTTTAATTGCGGTGTAAAAATCTTGTTTGAACTTTTAGCTTTGCCTTTTTTTAATGCAGGACTCATGTACAGGGTGTGGGTGTGTTTCTTTGGTGAGGCTGTAGGTGGCTCTGTGAGAACTAAGCAAGTAAGCAATGGAATAATCAATTGGTGAATGAAATGCCAGCATCCTCAGCCTTCACACTGCTAGTGTCTCTCGTAAAGGTGATGGGCTCTTGTGCACATTATATGAGGCAAAATGATTTTAGAATGTGCTGTGTGTTCCATTGATTCATAAAGATAACCACAGAAACGTTGGTGCGCACTGCCGTGTGTCAGGTGATCTAGAACCACTGTTGACAGAGACATCAGTTGCAGCTTGATGGCGGTCGAGAATGACAAAAAGCTGTGTCTCCTTGCAGTGAACCTGAGGGCCGCAGGATAACACGGGGCTCCATAAATTCTGGCAGGGAGCCGCCTGCCTCCTGCAGTCTGGGAAATCTGGTAAAAAGCTCTTAGGCCCCTTGTTAGGTTGCCTTTAAAGAGTGGTTGTGTCTAGATCAGAACTTCAGTGAAATCAGAGATAGAACTGATCAGACACATTGAGACACTGAAGTGTTGGAAATTTACCTTCACGGTAACAGTTTCATTAATATGCCTGCCAAGGGGTTTTCAGTTGTTTAATTGATTACAATTTTACCTGATCTTACTGTGTGTTTTTAGGTTTTACGTTGCATGAAAAACAGTGATTTTAAACCCATGACTAATGAAAGACTACAGGTCATTTTTTTGTTTTCTACCAGCTTAACAAATTATATATAGACTGAATGAGTCGATCTGACTCATGGTGTTTTTTTTATTGTAAACATATTTAAGACTTTGTTTTTGGTAATGTTTGGACGGCATAGATATAATTTCCCATCTCTTTTTTCAGAGTTAAAAATAAGGAACGGAAATTATATCCTCAATCCTTACTATGTGTCCTAGAATTCCCAGTTTTTACTAAAGATGGCTTTATGTAGTGCAAAAGAGGAAGAGTTTGCTAAAAGAAGGATTGTTGAGGGGACAATTCTGTGGTGAATAAAACCAGAATTCCTGCATGTGTGTTCACTGGTATGCTCTGCAGTGGCCTAACTTGTACTGCACATCCTTGTGAACTGATCTGAATCCATGTGATTTTCACCTTAGGGGATGCCTCAGACATTGGTTGTTCTAGGCTAACCCATGTACTGCTAGCTAATGCACAGAATTAGGCAATATAGCAAGTACTGTATTCAGTTTCAACAGACTTGTTTCAGAGTAGTGTAGGGCAGAATTTGAGTGTTTTGTTTGTAAACCATGATTAAGTGCAGAAGGGCTCAAATGCATGGTTTCCACGGTTTATGCATAACCTATTGATTGATTTGGTGTTATATTTCTTGAAGTATTAAAATGGTCTCACATTCTGTAATACTAAAATACTAAAGTACGAACTCTCTATGTAGACATACAGTACAGTATATAGAGTAGGAAAGATACAGAGGCAGAGACTTTCTGTCTATAAGTTGTGTTAAAAACAATTCCTTACATAAACTGCCTTGCCCCAAGATTGTACTGTAGGTAAATGTCATGCAGGAATCTCATAATTACAGGACATTTACCAGCAATGCTGGCATGTGAATCACTTTAGAGAAGACAGTTCCTGCTATATCAATCCTGAACCATTAATCTTGTGTTTACTGGAGGAAGAAAGTAATTTCATTAGAGAGGACTGTCTAGACCTCCATTATATGCTTCAACAGAAAAGTGATGTAAAGAATTCAGAATGTGTCTGGCTCGCAGCCAGCGTAAGAGGAAGAAGGACGTTTTTGAAAAGAACTGTGGGTATGCCGTGCAGATAGCACACAGTATACGATCAGGTAAGTGTGGGTTGTCTAAAATGCCACCCCTGAGCAGCTTTTTGAACAGGTGCCTTAAGCAATGGGTGAACAGTTAACAGCTATGTTTGGCTTGAAACTTCAATAGGTCCCACAATGAAAAGTCCCTTGCCAAAGCACAGTGAAGACTGCCAGCATCTATCATAATCATTTTCCTTAAGGTAGAATGTGCTCATGTGGTAAATTTGGGCATTGAGTGGAGAAGATGGAGAAATTATACTTTTCTCCTGATAAAAGATGGATTAAAAAAACATGTTCTACATTGGGCATCTTGGTATTGTATAGTAGTTAGGGCCCCATTACTGGGTGTTATCATAAGCTCCACAAAACTGGACGAGCAGATCAGACTCGGGACTCTATTTTTACTGTATTCCTTGTAAACATTTTAAATCTTTATTTCAGTATTGTTTGGATGCCACAGATGGTTTCTATATCCAGCATTGCCAGATACTACTTTTTCTTGGGGGGTGGGGGTTTATAGAGATGAGTATATCAATGCATACTGTATATACCCCCTCACCCACAGTCTTCTGAAGTCACATTTTATAGTTTATAGTTTATGATATCAAAGCTTTTGGTTTAAAACTCAAAGTAAGCATTACAGAATAAAAACAAAACAATATACAGTATAAGTTATAGAAAGGTAAATAGGTGGGAATCACACTGAGTTAGACATAAGAATAATCTCATCAATGACAACACTTTTGTTAAAACAACGAGAAACTTTAAAACATTTAAGACATATAATAAGAAAAAAGTAGTCTTTCACATTCATATCATAGGATAGGAGAAAAGGTGTGTACCATACCAGAATAAATTAGTGTCATCATTAAAACATCTGTACTGTTTGTTAAAACAACACATCTCAGCATGCGTATTTGAAAGTAAACGGATATTGTAGATACAATTTCAGAGTGCAGTACAGTGTAAAAATTAATCTCGCTAACAGCTGCACTCATGGTATCTTCTGTATTCCACATGAAGGACCAAAATTGTCAGTCATAGCTTGTCTATGCATGGTTAGACAAATGCACAAATGGACTGCCCCTATCAGTGCCATTGAAGCCTGTGATTGGCTACAAGTTGTTGGTTCAAAGTTCACTGTTTATTGACTTATGCAAAGCATTTTGGAGACTCTGATTGGGTGGACCTGAATGCACCATCAGACCCGGTTAATACCCTGTTGTTGGTCTTCCAGAAAGTAAATGGTTTTTAAACTTCTGTTGTCAACAGTTGCCTTTCATGTTCTGTGTGTGGTTCATTCATTCCACAAATTGTTTTATTGTCATGATGAAATACAGTATTATGGACTTATCTGCTTTTCAGATGTAAAAACATTATTAAATATGTTTTTCCTGCTATTAAGAGATCAAAGCTTTTACTACCTCAGTAGTAGTGATATGCAGTATGTGAAATGTGTCCTTTGATTAGAACAGGACATTGACAGTCCATAGAAAAATGATTAGTAGTGACATACTGTACGTAAATTTGTGTTGTTTGCAGTTAAATTCTAATGAAAAAATATAAAATTGAAACTTAAAGTTTCCCATTTGTAACACTAAATTGAAAGTGTAGCCTTTAATTCTGAATGTTCTGTGATATATGTGTCTTTGTAACTTTTGTTTTATTCGACCCTGCAAAATATTTTAGGTTTTTGCTAAAGCTGCTATGGTACTCATAATATGATGGTGCGATAATGCAGTTTTCTAAGCTCTGTGTTTTTGTGGTTAGTGTGGTGCATAATGACTTTGCAAGAAAGAGTACATTTTCTGCTAATTGCTCATTCTGTCACAAACCTGCAAATTTACTCATTCATGGTGTACATGCTCCTGTTTTTAATTAGAAAAGAAAGTCAGAAACAAATGCCAAAAATGGGTATTTCAGTCTGTATAAATGCATTTATATCCCTTCTATAGCCGTGCAGATATTCTGGTACTTTTAAAACAGATGAAAAACACATAAGACAAATTACACATTTAGTTCTGACTTCCCTTTTTATTGCGTGTATTGTACATTACAATTGCACTAGAACCTGATTTTAAAATCTTCAATCCCCAAGTGGGCCACAAAATAACATAACAGCTATCCACTACCTCACAAAAGCAAGCAACACCCAAAAATGCCGAGACACTTTATGCACTTGGAGTGCTGTTCAATGAACATCCTTGGAAAAGATCACACAGACTTTCCTCTCTTCTTTCTTATAAACTGAAGCTTGGTTATGTACAGTACAACTTGCCCGGCACTGTTGTACTTTATATACTGTTATGAGAATTTGAAGCTCCCAGTTTAGTTAAGCGATTTATTCTGTAGTTTCTACACTGTGGCACTTACTGGAAAATGCATTTAGCACAAAATCAGCAGAGTATTAAACATTTAAAAGTACTTATTTAAAAAGTTTGCAAGCTAAGTTGGAATGTGCTGTGCACAGGTAAAATGTATGTAATCTTGTCTTGTGTTACAGGTGCTGTAAAGTGATCTCTTAGCCCTTTCACTGCATAACTAATGTTTGCTCAATAGTGTACATTTTCTACTGAAAAATGATTTTCTTCCTTTTCTCTACATGGAAACTTCTTTAATTGTCCATATCTGACATGAGATAGCCTCGGAAAAACTACACTTGATAGTGAAAGCATTCGTCTATGTTACAATATTTGTAAAACTTTGACAGGTTTGAGAATAAAAACTAAAAAAAATCTTATTTGTTTTTGATTTTGTATTGTCACCCGACGTTTTGGAAAAAAATAACAAAACACAGAAAACTATATTGTGAGTTACCAATCATTTCACAGAAAAATATATAGAGTATAACTACTATACAAACATGGATAATCACATCGATCACAGCAACATCTAATACAGTACATGTTGCATCACTACTGTACATGTGAACATTAGAACATTGCAGCTGAAAAAGACAATTTTTTGTGACGTGAGTAAAAATATTCTGTCGTTAAAGGCATGTGAAAGTTGATCCAGTTGATCCGAATACTGCTGTGAAAGGGTTAAGAGAGCCAACTTCTAATCGGAAGGCTGTAATTTAATGGACAAAAATAATATGAGTAAACAGAGTTTTCCTTTTTTGCTGTGTTCCTCGGAACCCATTTCTGACACAGTTTTTGATGTTGAAAAGCAAGAAGAGATTTGAGTTAAGAGTCCCAGTGTGACCGTGATAAGAGCTAATGTTGTAAAGGAGGGTACAGTAGAAGTGCACGCTCCTTCCTCTTCTTTTGAGTAATGAGCGGACTTTAATCTTCTGCCATTGCCCTTATCGTTGGCAGGAAAGAATTATCGAACGCCTGAAGGAGCAGAGGGAACGAGACGATCGAGAAAGGCTCGAAGAGGTCGAGTCCTACAAAAAAGAAAACAAAGACTTGAAGGAGAAGGTTAATGCTCTGCAGGCTGAGCTGACAGAGAAGGAGGTCAGTGCTCACCAGTCAAGGGATCGTATCTTGGTGCTGTTAGCAGTCTTTCGGTGTGCAGCACCTCATTCCATTTGATTTTGCTCAGGGCGACGGGTTCTCTGTATCTAGTCCAGACTGAGGATAACTCGAATCGAGCCGTCCCCTTTCTGTTTTAGGTGTCCACTACGCCTCATTTCCAATGTGTTCTGCACTTTTATGTGTGATTTTTATGTGTCTCCATTGCGATGTTCCGCCTGGGATCCCACCCATGGGTTTGAGCTTATGCACTGCGCACATTTCAACCAAATATCATTTCCTATGGGAGGAAAATAAAGTTAAAAAAGTTACTAATCTTTAGTGTTTTGCTTGCCCTCTGTTCATTTATCTGTTAGCTTGTAAGGATCGTGACAAAACAGAGAATTTATCACAGAACTATGAATTACAATGATGAGCTGCATCTGGTTTTTCTTACTGATTGGCTTCTTTATCAGATCAGTTCTGTTTAAAATTAAATTTGATACAGCATCTCTAATAGTTATGTGTTATTTCAATTTTTACCATCTTAGAAGTGTTCAATGAGGTGGTATATAGTGTTTTGAAAGTATGCTTTATTGGAACAAATCTGTTCTATATGGGCTACAGATGTAAAAGGATAAAAATGAGTAAATAATGGGTTAAAGTCAGCAATGCAATTTTTCATACAACTATTGCAGCAAATGTTAAATCCAGTGACAAGCTAGGGCAATTTTCTGATTTTAAACTGACATTAAACAAGCTTTTATAAACATCAAAATTCCAGCCCTTGTAATATGGTGTCCCTACCCTATATTTAAAGTGTTAACATCAATTGTAAAATTAATTCTCTTCTTACTCTAGCACATGTATCAACTTGACGATATTGAATGCTGAATAGAGTCTTTGCTTCCTTCTTCTTCTTCAAAAAAAAGGAAATTTATAGACCGATCCAGCCATTCCTGATCTGAAGCCAAATGGAATTCTGATTGTTCCAAAACATGCTGGAGCAATCTTTTCGGTGCATTAAAATTTATGAGAATGTTTATTTATTTATATACCGTACACTTGTGAATTATGTTTCACTTCACTTTGACTCTGAACTGATTACAGAAATCTCAGGACATTGTTTTCTTCATAAGCTTAAAAGGTGCAAAATCATCTTCTAACTGTTATTATTGGAACTTCTTGTTCTCTCTTTAACATTGGAGATCCAGATGATTGGGGTGATAACCTAACTTAGGCTCATTTGTTAGATGGGTTGGCGGTTAATTTAAACAGGAAGGAAGAAAATTCCCAGATCCCAGAAAATACATATTGAATCCATGGAAGTGGACTTACTTGTGCTTTTTTTTAACTTAATATCCATCTCTAAATGTGTTGTTTGCTGGGAGCTTTGGGATGGGTTTGGGATCGATTTGTATAAAGGAGAATGGTTTCAAATCCTACCTTGGCATATCTATATCAATATATACACTATCCCAGTCTGGAATGGCATGGAAACAGGATTGACCGCAGGCGTCACCGAGTTTGATGCGGCACTTTCAGAGTGCTCCTTTTGTCCCCGTACTTTGACGATGCACCAGCTGTGCTCATACCTGATTGAACGGGGAGGAAATTGAGGGGAAATTAACAAACTGCATGCATATATAGGCACTTCAGATCCATTTCATTCAGCCCCGTATCTCTGCATTCATTAGACCTGATATCACTGACTGTCTGGTATGGTTTTGTCTCGTTTCAGTCTAGTTTAATTGACTTGAAAGAACATGCATCGTCTTTAGCTTCATCTGGCCTGAAAAAGGACTCCAAACTCAAATCCCTGGAGATTGCCATAGAGCAAAAGAAAGAAGAGTGTAGTAAGTTGGAATCACAATTGCAAAAGGTAGGTAGCAGCTGAAATGCTCCATCTTGGCCCTGATTCCTGTCCTAGCCATTGCAGGACTGGGACCGAGATGACATGCAATGATATTTTCCCTCCGTGAATAAACATCAGGGGCTATTTTGAATCTGCAGAGGTTCGATGAGTATCACAGAGGAGCGAAACAATAGCAACTCTGTCAGCGAGGAAGCAAGAATCAAAGCAGGTTGTGAGCCTGAAGAATTACCACTGTATAAACCCTCTGGCACTTAGAAATTGTCAGGCTGGCTGGGCTTGGGACATAACACACTTATAGTGAACAAAGTTCTATGGTAGATCCATAACCTTTTCTCTAACAATATAATGAAGAACAGATTCCTCCCAAACAGATCAAATGATGAAAAAGAGAGGCAAGTGTCTTTCAGATGTAAAGTGATTTTAAGAAAGTAGGAGAGGTAGATTTTAATGTCATTAACACACTACATTCTTCCTGGGGCAGTGATAAAATATTGTTTTCAAAGATTTTCCCTCTTTTGATATCCAGAGACTCATTTTCTCAGAATGTGCTATGGTGCTTGCAGATTTAAAAAAAAAAAACTGGCTTTTGAGAAACACTTTTTGTTTCTCATCAAGGATCAATTTTCTGCTTTATTTTGACCTGGTTCCAAGCTCTTAGTTTTAAAAAAAAAGTGAACTGCGATAGATTTAAGAAATTTTCTTTTGCTGGGCTCAAATCTTTGAGGTTTCAGGATACCGCAAAGGGTGCCAGGACAAATGATGTTGGGTAATCAGAAATAAAGGTTAAAAAAAGTCCTCTTTCCTGTTTTTGTTTTAATCCCAAGGAGATACAGGAGAGAAAAAAATTGCAGTCTTAGTAGAATTCTATTTCAGAGTTTTCATATTTCCTACATAAAGAGAGAGTCCTACCAGTTCTGTGGCGTTACAATCTTTCTTATTAAGAAAAATTAAATCATGTATTCCCCAAATTACCTTTGTTTGGGAAAGGTTTGTTGCTGCAATAGTGTGTAAAGTGCAATAGAAATGAAGTTGCTGTTCCACAATACAATCCCAAGAGGAAAACATACTTGCCTACCTTCCTTTGGCTGGCTGGTCATTTTCCCTGCCATGTGTCAATCGTGGCTAGACTCTGGAAGGAGGCTGCCTGTTTTGCAAGTGTCACATGTGTTATGGATACCTGTTCGGATGTTATTGTGGAATGTGAAAAATAAATACATTTTCATTTTTCAAATTATATATTGCAAAGCCATTGTCTGTGAAGAAGGTAATACACCATTTTGGAAATAACGAAATGTCCTCCCTGATTTCCATTCTCTCTCACCTTAACATTGCTCTGTTTGACTGACCCTCCTTTACATCTCTGCTGTCTCTGTCAGTTTGTACCTTTTTTCCTCTTGTATTTAAGATTTCCCATTCCAGGGCTCTGCTGTGCGCAATTTCTGTAAAAGACAAAAGCATTTTCAAAAGCTGTTTTACTATTAGTATTAGTATTTTTGCTTGTTTTTGATTTTATATTGCTAGTATCTACCGAGTAAGTGATTTCATTTTTCATTCTGCAGTTCTTTCTTTTCAGGGCTTCTTAAGCAAGTCATGTAGAAAAGCACATGTTCTTGACTGGAGCTGTACTGAAATACTTTTAATGTTATTGCATTAAATAAAAAATGTGATGTTTTCCATCGTTTTATAAAACCTAATAGTAAAACTAATTTTGAGATACTTCAGTATTGAACATATTCATTATGAATTAAACTTGTGTTTTTGATCAGACATGCATAACTGTACAGTACAGTATGCATCTGTTTTTTTCCTTCCTTAGTATGTAACCTGCCTAGACATTTGAGGGTCCGTCTGTACCAATATGCATGTCTGCTGGTTTGAATCTCTTCCTCTTTAGTCTTCTGTAGTATAAACTGTTATATGCAGGGCTAAACAAACCATTTTATTCTACCTACTGTAGGTCTGATAGAATAGTCTTTTAAGGCTCGATTTTTTTAAAGTACATAATGCCATCATCTTAGTATATTATGTAGTGATCATGTTTAGCATAGCAGCACTTTGACAGGTGTGGGAATCTAATGGGCAGCAATCCTTTGAAAACAGAGCAATTTGGAGAGAAAATGACCGTTTCAATTAATGCAGGGTGCTGGCTATTTTATTTAAAGGATTTCCAAGGCAATTCTGCAGATGTCACTAGACAGAAGGAAAAGATGTTTGTTCAGCCCTGTGTATACAATGTACATGAGCCTTGTCCTTGAAGATGGTCCAATCACAACCCAAAGAAAGCTGCCACTTAATTTTCTCATTAATCTGTGATCCATTTTTTTTCGTTGTTCATCTCTGCTGGGAAAAAGGATCCTATGACTTCCTGGATGACTTTCAGTCACTGGCTGAATTCCTGCAAAGCCTCAAGTAATGAAAAATGAATGGTTACATGAGAGAAGCCATCTATATTTTTTATAATATCCCATCTCAAAACGGCTGATTCATATATGATATCTAGACATTTTGAAAGCTGTTGTAAAATTTTCAAATGTTTTCATTAATTGGAACAGTATGATTTCAAGGTAGGATGTGATAGTTATGCAGAACTAATGTACCGTCGAAGAAACAACCAACGCGCACAATAATTGAAATAGTATGAGAAAAAAATACACAAAATACAAATGTTGTGTACGGCTTTGAAAGTGTTACATTTGTCCATCCTGTTGTAGTGAAAGTGGTTGTATTCAGGTTTCTGTTAAGGAGTCCCATTGTTCATGTCACAGTCCTGCACACCTGACTCAAGACCGTTGTTTGATTCGATATCCCAGCCTCTTATTCTCAATCCACACAAATGGAACAGCATTCCAGAACTGAATCCCTTAGTCAGTTCAAAGGAGCGGGCAAACAGGCCCCACTGAAAGTGTACTGAGGTGTGTACTATATCTGTGGAGGCCTAGGCTTTTACAAGGAGAAATATTTGAACTCTTAGGTTATGCCTTTGTTTTGAGGCAGTTGTCGAGTTATCGAGGTGTCCAAGGGAAGTTTGTGTGAACATATGGCACCCCCAGCTGATCTTCAACTGATAAAGAAAGAATTCCTTCGGACCTGAGCTGAGTGCAAACAGTGTGAGTGCATGTGGGGGTGTCGAAAATATACTATGCTATTCATAATACTGGTTATTGCTGCATTTTGAGATTTTTTTAAAATGTTTAGGCTATGTAATATTTGTCTTTGTAGTCCTCACTGAAGGAATTCCTTGATTAGGGCAATAATTATATGCATATTATCCATCCATTGCCCGTGTTAAAGGACCATGCGCACTTCTAATGTTATTCCATTTCGTAAAACTGCTTTACAGTTAAACTTAGCCATCTCAAAAGACAGTGTAAGAACCTGAACAAGAAATCTTTAGGACAGAAGGAACCTAAATCACCTTAGAAAATTGTAAAATGGACTGTATTTTAGTCATACAGAGGGCTATTCAAGTTTCATATAAAACTGAATAAAATAAGAAGTGTTTTGTAGTGTACGGTTTCATGAGCATGTCTAACAGAAACGCTTAAAAATAGTACTACATTCTTTACTGAATTCTGGTTCTGTTTTACTTTGAATTTATCTGTAATCCTTTAACAGTATTATTTTGGAGCAGATCTGTACATTGCAGTTGGATCTTAATTGCATTTGTGTGGAATTTTAAAATGATAGATTTCAAATGAAATGCAAATGGAGGTTTCAGCAATTTCCAAATGAATGTTGCCGCTCGTTGTGTTTGCCTGCGTTTCTTTCAGCGAAATGACCCAGGTTAGTTCGTAAGGCTGGAAATGCAAGACATGTTTTTCCACTTAAGTTAGGAGCAAGCTACAATAGAAACAGACCTGTGTCGCTGTGGAAGGCTCACCAGCAGGGTCTTGCCACTGAAAGGCATTCGTTTCGTATCGATTGCTTTAGAGAAGAGAATTCATGGATTCGTGTCTAGAATATCACTGTTTTAAAGGGTTTGATACTGAAGGTTAATGGAAGATGTGGAATAATGGATGTTTCAGATTTACCAGGAAAACTAAAGTCCGAGAAACGTGGCACTGTAAACTCCTTAAAATGGAAAAGAAAAACAACAGCCAGTTAGGATCTTCATATCACGTATAAGAATTGGCAAATACAACTGCATGCTGAAGCCCATGAACCATTCAATAAGATAGTCAGCTCTGTGCTTTTTTGTTTTAACCCAGTAGTAGTTAAAGGACTAGATTCAAGTGCAGAGAAATGTTCCTTCTTTTAATTGGTTTTGCTCATGGCCCCTTCCTTGTGTGACTTTTGCCACAAAGACTATTTCTGCTCACAGTGATTTCAGTCACATGATTAGTCCAGCTCATTTTTAATTTCTAAAGGTAGAGGTAGAGTATATACTGTAATAAATTGAGCATTGATAAAAAAAAAAAAATGTCACGTGAAGTGGGTTAAAGGTGAACGGGCATGCTTTATTAGATTAAACAGAAACGAAATGCTTAATCTGAACAGATTTCAAGGGGGTCTTGAAATGAGCCCTGGCCATAATGCATTGCAAATATGAAATCCATTCCTCCATTCCCGAATGACCCGAAAGGTGGCTTTTTGGAGCTCAGTCCGCCCTCCCCTTGTTTGTACAGTAGATATACAAAAAGGCACAATTTCTCACGGAACACTAGATTAAAGGACCTGATAATTGTAATACAATAAGTAAAAACTTTTAACATCTGTGTAAATAGAAAAGATAATGTTATAAATGAAAAAGAAAAGTGCAAGTGGCCATCGTCCAACTTAGTTGCATGGCTGTTGAGGTTCACTTTCCCAGGACGGATATTTGTGGTGAAAGAGAAGAAATTTCATCCACATGACTGAAGTAAGATGACTGAATGCTCAGTACATTTAACAAACAACCAGTGCATGTGACTGTTCTGAGCCCTCACTTACACTGGGCTTTCGTCTGCCTCTTAGGATCTGAGGGAACTTTACCACTTATAAACAAGAAATCAGCTCTGTTGATTCACTTCAAGTGTTTGCAAACTGAGGATAATAGATTAGATGACAAATGAGGAATGCAAGGCACTATATTTAATTATAGTATTGTAATCATGTTGAAGACATTAAAATTCAGCAAGTTTATATTAAAGTTGATCTTGTTGTGGTTATTGCTTTTGAAGGATATTTAATAAAAATTATAGGTGCAGAGGGATTTTTAGTCAAAAACTGGCTTTAATATTAAAGACCATTATGATGACAAATAGAAAAAAATGCAGAATGTGCCTTTTGTTACAGATTACAAAATGGTGTGCATAACTTCTTTTAAACAGCATGTCATCGTTTATATCAAAAGTTAGGAGCTTTTGATCTTTAAGGGAAAACAAATTTGATGTTGTTAACATTCATAGCAATCCAGAGCAGTGTTCTTCATTATGTAACAACTCTAATAATAACACTGCGTGAGGTAAATGTGGCATGCCTTCTGCAAATAGCATTTGCTTTAAATAAATCAATTACATGAGCAGTGTGGAGCTGTTTGACCCAGGGTGATTCAAAGCTTGGCTTCTCCTCTTAATCCTACTTCTTTTGCTAATATGCTTGCAATGCCCAGAGGTTGAATGGTAGTTAGACAAAGTAATAAGATCATACTACTCTTATTTCTGTTATCCCTTCAGACATTACTGTGTAATGATAATGATAAGGATAGTAACAGCAATAATTTGAAATCTGAAACAATATATGTCAAGATAAAAGAGAACAAAACTCTTATTGTTTCAGACTGCAAAGTGCACTTGATGAGTATGAGGTCCTTGCAGTGATTCAGTCTTGAGGCCAGCGCTTAATGTATCATCAGATTCGGGCAGCTTTCTTATCATGGGTTGTTTGGATTAAAAAGAGCAACACGGACCTTAAAATTTTTTAACTTGTTTTTTTTTTTTTGAAGTAGCTAAAATCAACATCCAATGCCTCGCATTTTCACTGTGCAGCGTTTGGACACTGGAACTTTTGCTTTTTAATGACAAGCTCTTCTGTGGAAATTCAGTAGATCTGCCAAGCTAACGCTGTTCTCCTGGATCTTTCCTTCTTTTCCTGTCTGTGCATCATCCTTCCCCAACTTTGCAATGTAGCAAGCAGAGCAGTTGTTCAATCAGATGTACAATCCCGTAAGTTGTTTCTGAAAATTGCCCTCTGTAACATAAGAAAGCATGAGGAACTATTGCCCTGATATTGATATCCCAAGGCCTTGGTGTAGAGACTAGAAACTTTATTGATGATGGTCACCACAAAGTGTTTTAGTCTCACTAGAAGGGCATGACCTACACTATGTAGACTTCCAGGGCCTTTTTAAAAAAAACAGGATGAGTTTACATTTTGGGAGGAACAGTTGATTTTATTGCCTTTAAGTCTGCTAGGCCTTTTTAAGGACTGGTGCATGCTAAAACTGGTAATTGTAGATATACTCAAGAGACTTTGTTTAGTAAGTATAGTCAGTTAAAGGTCCATTAACACAGAGGTTGTGAACTTATAGAGTAGCAAGTTCGGACTTAAAACTGATCTGATATTGACAATAGGAACCTCAGTGTATTGCACATGTGAAGTGAAAAATCTTTCAAACCAAAAAAAACTATCAAGGCCCTCAGGTAGTTCTTTTTTGTCCATTCTAATGTGTGGAATATAAATCAAATTCCTACCAAACATAGAACATATTTTAAACAGTAATTTTTATTTTTTTTAATTCTACAATATTTTAATATGAGATAACTAGTGGGCAGCCTTTTGCTGAATCAAATAAAATAAGCTTGCTTGCTGTGTGCACTGCAGATTCTGCAAACATTTCACTTCTGTCATTTTTACAGGCTGTTCCTTTATATCAGGTGGGATCTATATATCTCATTTTACAGTAATATGGTTTTCATTTTAGAATTATACATTCAAAAGAAAAGTTGAAGGGTCTGAAATAGTAAAAAGCTTTTATTAAAAGCAGCCTTGGACAACCTCTGCGTTTGGTCTCTTGAGCCTATCTGTAACAGTCCACACAAAAGATGTTGCAGTATCAGACCCTTCCCACACTCTCACAACTGAGCTGACTTCTACAATGGTTTTGAATCCATCAAAATGCTTTTTTATGACTCTTGTAGAAGTCCCTTTTTTTCCGATGATTTGTTTGTCAGTAGGGTTTAAGGCAAATAACCAACCAAAGAAAAGGTTTAGACTCCCGGAGTCACTAAAAACAATCCACGTGCTTGCACTGAGAAGTACTATAGATGCTTAGACAGAACGTACTGGAATGCTACATTCAGACATTGCTGTCACATGGTCAGTACAAGCTGTCAGGCAAGTCCTGTTTGTCAGTTATAAAAGAGAGCATTAAGGACTTTCTCCTGCACTTTCTTTAGGAAATGTAAGAAGAGTCATCAGAAGGATGTCTACAGTTAAGATGTTTATACAGCATTAAACCAATATAAGATATCTATTGAAAATACTAAATAAGCATGAGAGAGGTTCAGCTTCATAATACATTCAAGATACCTTGAGTAATACTTAATAGTGATACTTTAACAGTAATCCCATTAAAAGCCAAAAAATAAACAAAGTCTTTTTGTCACAGGAAACATTTTTTCCTCACCTCTTAAAAAAAAAAAATCAAAATACTGAGTCAAGATTAGGCTCAGAGACATTTTACAGTCAGCCTGTTCTCTAATCCTCATGCTTAAATGTATGTTACACGCCAAAAAAAGAGAGCTTGTGTCAATATTGTTTTTAAATCGAGCTACTGATGCTCTTTATCTGTTCAGATAACCACTATTTTTGTGATTTGCGACCGTTTCTTTTTGCCCTTAAAAATGAAACCATTGCAAAGGCTGTTGAGCATAATCAGAGTAGCAGTGTTGTCATGTCTCTTCACCATGCACGCATCATTTAAAAAGCAACTTCTTTTTCATTGCTTTGCTTGCCTCGGTCTTCTCTTTGCTTGCTCATTCAAGACGCCAAGTAGGAATGATGGGAACTCTGCGGTAGGCTAAGCTATGCCGTGTCAATTGTGTTTTTTTTTGTTGTTGTTTTACTTTCACTTTCGCTGTGCCTTTTTTCAGCCAAACTTGTGTGATACTTTGGCTGCAGTGTACTGTACAGTAGCTGGTTTGTGTGATACTTTTGTTTGAAGGATGTTGCCAGTGTCTGTGCATGTTGTCCCCTCTTCACTCTCATTTCTGTTTTTGTGTGGTCTTGTGTGTTTGTCATTTACTGACATCGTGTGATTTGTCTCTCAGAATTGTTCCTGACAATCACCTTGTTAAAAAGCATTAAAAAGACATTTGTAATGATACTGTATGGTATAATTGTTAGTTCATAGTATTTGGCCATCCTCAGGGGAATTGGGTTTACACCTGAACCAGAAAGTCTGGTCTCAAACAGTATACAGTACATCCTTTTTTGGTGCTGATCGTGATTGTAAATTAGGAAAAGTCCAGCTCAGTTCCGACTGAGAAAACTTTAATTGCCACGTACTGTGTTTCAAAGTACTAAATTCTTGTCTGCAAGCCAAGTGGCAGTGCAAAAAAGGAATCACTGAGAAATACTGCATTCGTTAAAAGTGTCCGAAAAACAAAATCTAGAAATTACTTTTAGAATGGTTGGTTTTGGATTCTTAAAAGGAGGCAAAAAAGTAAGAAACAGCTGAAATATTTTGATTTTCACAAAAAGTATTTAAAGGGATTCTTTTTGTAATGTCACTGACCATATTATTAAATTTAAAATTACACATAATACCCATCTGATTAGGTTACGATCAGTTCCATGTTATTCCTTCAAGAATGTGCAGACAAACCCTTCACAGCTAATCATTTTGTATCCCCAGAAACTTTGAAAATGCAATTGTCCGTAGTTTGTTGCACTGAATTCACTGCAGAAACCAGGTATTCCTTGTTTATTCAGAAGGATGTAATGGAAACGAAAGACAAAAATAAGGTCATTAACGTCCTTACGTTTTGATTGTTCTGTACATGTTTTGATTGTACGAGATGCTACAGATTGTTTTTTGAGTATCTGAACTTGTTTTACAGTACTTTCACTAAACATCATAAAGACTGAAACATAATTTAAGAATGGATAGCTTACTGCAGAAATCCCAGAGGCTGGGACTCATCAGGCGATACCAAACTGGACAGATTCACTTTTCTCACTTATCTTCAAACTGCCTGTTTCACAGGTCTCTCCTGCCGCAGATTACCTGCTGCAAAATCAAAATTCAAAACTTTACATGTTTCCTTAGGATCTGATAGAGTGTCTGGAAATACTGGGCCCTCAGTAGCCATTCAGGAAAATAGAGTAGATTAAGAAAAGTCTGATTTTTTGCATTTTCAAATCATCCTTAATGCAGAACAAGATTAGTGTGATGTTTTTGTTAGCACTCTGGTAGTCAGGAACAAGTTTTAGCAGTATTTTTAATTATTAAAAAACATGAACCAACAATTATACCCTTGGTTATTGATCCATTTGAGTTTTAAGACAATTTAAGTTTTAAGCAGATTACGACACAGGTCCGTACCGTACCGTGACTAATGCGCTCCTTTCTCTTTCTTAAATGTCTGTAATTGTTTCGCGTGAAGTCTCAAAAGGCTCACGAGGCAGAGGAGGCAGCGCGCGTGAACCCCGAGATTGTCAACAAAGTCAAGCACCTGGAAAAAGAGGTGGCTTACTACAAGGAGGAGTCTGGGAAGTGCCAGGCAGAGGTGGAGAGACTTCTGGACATCCTCAGGGAAGTGGAGACAGAGAAGAATGACAAGGACAAGAAGATAGCAGAGCTGGAGAGGTAACAGGATTCCTCTGTTATCTGTTCGGGGTGAGCAAAATCAATAACGGGCTCGGACCTTTCTTTTTCGGGGTTTCGGCTGAACAAAAATGTAGGTGCTTCCAGGAAAATGACAGAATAATATTAGGAACAAAAAAAAACGGGGTCTCGAATCTAAATTCCAATAAAGTCGTCTTTGCTTTGATGAAATGGATTTTGCAGCAGAGATCTAACAATTATCTGCTTGTCCTTAAGCAAGAGTACATTCGTAGGGCTGTATTTCTTTTTTTTGCCATTTTAATTGTTCCAAGGATGTTAATCACAGTTGAAAAAGTCCATTAAAAGGTTATCCATTTGGTTCCGAGCTTCATCCTTAAACCAAAGAAAAAGTGATGAGGTAAACAAAAAAATGTGCAAACATTTCTGTCTGAGCACACATCATCATCAGAAGAAATGGTTTCCATTGCAATCACTGTGTGCCTGGAGAATTGTGCCTTTGTAAATTGTACCATGCATTTTTGTTCTTATTTTGTTACGAACAAGGTTTACATGGTTTGGTGGTGAATAGTGTAGTCTAATCACTCATCTTTACAAATATTAGTATTTATTTATGTTTTGTTTGTGTTGTGTTTTTCATTGGCAGACCTGGGTGAGTATGCATGTCGAGTATGTACCCCCTGTTGTTTTATGATTCTTAAAAAAGAGAGAAAAAATGTTGCATTCATTTTGTGCACGAGTTTCTCTCCTTTGTTGTGCATTTCTTCATGTCAGTAAGCATGTTACCCTAAAGAAGTTCGGTGAGAATACCATTTGTTTGGTTTGGAAAATAGGGTTATAAATGGTGTGTTTGTTCACGTATTTATTTGAAGTAAATGGGGTACATTTAGATTTTGGCTGGTATCCAACATGATAATTTGGAAATAGTTGCTGCAAAACACTACTACTGCCTTGAAGTTTAATAACCAAGAACTTTGCGCTATTGAAAAGGAAGCTTTAAGATCATTAAAGGAAAATCTTTAACAGTCTACGCATCATTTCATTTGGGCTAACCAGTTTGCTTGCCAGACAAATGCTGTTTTCAATTCTCAGACCCTTTCATTAACATATATGACCTTGTGATGCTTTCAGCACATCTATTTCAATGCCAGAAGAAAATACCTTCAATTACTATCTTTTTTCCTTATGTGTTTTACTCTGCATCTGCGTTATACTCAATTCTACAGCTGTTCACAAGTCATATACTGTGATGAGTAGATTTACTGAATGTGTGAATGATGCTTTTGTGGGAGAAACTACAGTATGTACTGAATAACTACTGCATGACTTAGTATTCTTTCTGATGGGTTTTCCTGCTTTTGCAACAAATGTTCAGGTTTATCCTTCTCAGTTTATGCTATTGTAGATGACCATTGCTATTAAATGGGTTAACGTACAGTAAGTGACAGAAGGAATGATTTTCTATTCATTCCTGTAGTTTACAAAACAGCGCAGATAATGTGATTCACAGAGGATTGGCACATATATTTTCCTATTAAGAGGTTCTCTGTGTCAATAATCCTTTATGTTCTTGTTGGTGATATTTTCAGTGTTTGTGCTGTTAAAACTCTTACCCATAGTTATGAAACTGATCAATCTCTGCAATTAGATCTAATCTTTATTTAAAACTTTTGCTTCAAAACCAAAAAGACTATGAAGAAAAAAGTGTATTTCACAAAACATGGGGAATTGTTTCTTAGGAGATAAAGAATTTAAAGTATAGTTTGTTGAAGAATAAGAAATGAGACGTATACATTAAAAATATATCAAATAAATTGTGTTTTTTCCTATGAAATGTCCTAAGAGATATAAAAAGTTCCTTTTTGTTGTTTATTACTGAAGAACAATAACATGAGCTTCCTCTAATTTGGATGCCTGCAATAAATGTGTTGGTTTCTTTATATTCTGTTAACACCCACAGGATTATAAACTTGATCGTGTCTTATGCTTGTGATATCATCAACAGTGCTGATTACAACTGTGATTGGTTTATGGAATTTGAGAACAAGCCAGAACACATTCTGGGATATCACAGCACCTGATCTGAAAAAAATAGATTTTTTTTATTGGCAAAAGAATGTACAATTATTTGCTGATTTATAGATTTGAATCTTGGTTCATTCAAATTATGGATTTTTCTTGCCAAATTGTCTTAGCATGTAGCTGACTGGTGCTTCAGTGCTTGAGCCAGGTGCAGAAAAAATGAGCTTTGTTAACCATTAATCTAATTTAAGGTTATATTCAGGTGTTCTAAAAAATGGGATTGTAATACAGTCCCTCCTGACGTACAGTCTGAGTAGATGAATGCTGTGTACATCTGACAGGTCATTTGTCAGCACTGATGTAGCCAACAGATTTAAAGAACTGGGAAACTCCAGCAATAAGAAAGTAAAATAATGAGGGATTAATAAATAGACTTTAATTGCCCTGTAACAGCTATGGGAACACTATTGCATGTTACGAATCTCTGTAGAAGCCTGGAATAGTCCAAAACTGGGGGTTTTTGGCAGAAGACCTGCTCCAGCAGGACAGTACCTCAAGGTTTTTCAGCATTGAACTATGTGAAATTCCCCTTCGCGAGCAGTATGCCAGAATATGTCTTGGTACAGCAAGTTGCAGACAAGCACATCTTCATTGAAATACCACCACTGCTATTATTAAGAGAATGTAGAGGTACTGTAGTTATAGTAAGCAGTGAATCTGATTTTTTTTTATTTTGAGATAACTGGTTTTATTTAACACCACCTCAGAAGGAGGTCAAATTTTAATCTCTCACTTCCACCCCTGTATTTGTAAAACGTTGCTGGCTGCCCACAAGTCTACGCGCATCTTTTCAAAATTCCCTTCCTCCACCCCAACGTCACCCTTGCAACAGCCTCTCTGGTTCATTCCTCATAAGTGAGAGGGGTTGTGGCTGCAGATCAGTGCTGGAATTTCCTCAGCCACACGGCTTCCAGCCGAAGTATTAAGTACTGGCTTTCTAGGCTCGTTTAGACAATATCCGAATTTGATTATTTTGGAATTATTCTAATAATATTTTGAACTTGAATGCAAATGCTAAAATAAAAATACAGCCTTGAAATCATCTCAAGAATATAAACAGGCTTTTCATTTGCTTCTGGGGCTTCAGTTCGAGTTTCACGTTTTGAGTGATCAGCTTCTGCCTAAAACACTTGACAAAAGTATCCTACATAAAGAATAAAAAGATTATATTTATTATTCTCGGTCATGGACATGGATTTATGTGTCTCACAGCAATGTCGTACAACGTGTTTGTAGTCAAAGTCTCACATGCAAGAGTTTGCTAAATATATAAAGTCAAATAGTAAGAAATAAATACAGGATGGATTTCTTCAGGCTTTGAGAATTTCCAGGAATATCCTCTGCTCCGTCGTGTGACCAGTGAAGAAAAGCATGCAATGGCTGTGCTCCAGTGGGAAGTTTTCACTAACAGATAAAACAGCTCTGAGAATCCTGTCTAGAAACCCAATCTGCTAACTTTACCATATAGCATTTATGTGCCATATGATGGAGTTTATAATGCAGAAACATTCCATCCTGACTCTTTGCCAGATGTCCCCTCCAAGTGTCTTGACACAGGATCGCTGCGTCTTTCTTTCTTCTGCTCGTGGGGTGGGGGGCCAGTTTAACCAACTGTGTGTTTCTGTCCTTCTTTCCCATCTGCCCCGGCATCCTCTCTCCCCCTGTCTGTCTCCCCTGGCCCAGTGGCAGAGCACACTCTGGTCAGCACCTCTCGGTCTCGGCTGCCCCGCAGCAAATAGGGGGGCTGATGTGGGATTTCTGGGGAAAGTGAGTGCTCTGCCCTGGCATGTGACTGTATTGTCCGTGTTTCTGTGTCTGTGGCTCTGCATGTCAGTACACCCCTGCATCTTCCAGCACTGCTGAAAGCGCTTTCATCATCCTTTAAATCCCTGACCTCACTGATCGCCAAAGCCCTTCTTCCTAAAATGTCCCGTGTTCGTTTTTCAATGACATTTTTTCCCTTTTTTTTTTCTGCATAGCATCTGGGTGATGCCTCATTGATGAGATGAAGTGTAGTTTTGATACCATAAATACTTAAAAAAAAAATAACAAACAACTCTTTTATAGAAATGGATATATTTTGATTACATGGGCAGAATTGCATTTTTTTTTTGCCTATCACAACCAAATTGTGTTGAATAATGCAGTTTAAATCAGAAATAAACATTAAGAAATTAGCTTGAGGGTTGCATGTCTACCAGTGCTATTGAGTAAAAAAATGACTGCTTTTAAATTGCTTGTACAGGCGTTCTTTTACCAGAATTTATATTTGGATTTTAGTTGTTATTACAGTTTTTCTGCTGCATTACATGTCACTAAGAATAAGTTTCAAATATGAACAATAATGCAGAGACAGAGAAGAGTGTCACAGTATTTTTGGATCTACTGTATTTTGACTTATTTTTGTGCACTTTCTGGTCACGCCTTTTACTTCACTGGCTTTCACCCTGTCATTGTGCTCTTACTTGGCTATCATCAATCTTTATCACCTGCCAGGAACTCCGTTTGTTAAGGATACCAATTTGCTTATATTCTAATCTGTAATGCCAAATGCTAAATGTACTTAAAAGAATCAACTAATGAAAGGATTCTATATCTATTAGCAAATAAAGAACATTGTTAGTGTATTTTGTCATTTATCTTTTGCAAGTCCCTACAGCTCAGATCAAAAGTAGTTATGACAGTGCTTAACAGCATGACATTAAGGCAATATTAATAAGTTTCTTGGAATATTTATTTCCCTGTGTTCATAAGCCCTGAAGCAGTTCTAGATTAATGCACTTTTCATGGTTTATACTACCCTTTCTAACACAAGATCCTCAATAAATGTCCATATCTTTGTTCTTGGTTCTAATTCACGAGCTGCATTTAATTTCCTTGATACTATAAGCAGTTCACATTGGCACTAAACAAATACAGGATGAGATAAACCAGTGCATGTCTGCATATGTTTCTTTTATCTTTATATAAATTATTGCTGTGTTAGTCGCCCTTTTGCTTTGAAAAATACACATTGTGCTTCATGAAGAATACATGTGCACATTGTATGTGACTGAATAGCCTAGCTACTCAGTGTAAAAGGGATGAAGGGATGTATTTTAAAAGGATGCGCCCCTCTGAAACAATTCATCTTTGTCATTCCCCTGTGTGGAGGCAAAGAGGGATGAATGTTTTGTTGCTACTACAGCTGTCTTCTGTATAAAACACTAATGTAACAGAAGGCAAAATCCACCTGAAAGAGACTCTTTCCAAAAACTCTTTCCATTTTGTGGTTACCAATAAAAAAGATTCAGTTTTCTTTCCAAAAAGGCACATCTAAAACGCTGTTTGTGTGCACAGTAAAATAAAAACGAGATGTACCTGTATTATGGAAACTGCTTGTTTCTGCGTTACTAATCGTTTTTTAAAATAAAAATGTAGCTTCTGATCTCCAAGCAGACTACATAATCGACTGGTCTGGCAGAGAGTGTTAGCAGTTTTATTGTGGTGGCTAATTAATGTGAGAGGTGCTGTTTGCCTGTAGCCCTTATGACAAACTCTTACTCAGATCTTATTAAAACATTCTTAACAATGCTTTGCATCTTTTATGAGTATTGTTTGTACAAGTCATTGCCAGGCTTTCAGGGCACTGCTGCTGTTAGCCAATATTTTTTTCTTGAATTCGAAATCATTTCTCAACGTTGTGTTTTTTTTAAACAAAATTTGATTTGTAAGCAAAAACTGACAGTTTTCCAAGAAAATGCTACAGGGCAACATGTGTTTTGCAATGCTTTGATGGGAGTGCTTTATAATATCTAGTTTATTTTTTCTAGACATTTTTATTTCTTTGAAGGTAAATTATGGCTCAGAAGTATCCTGTTGCACACCTTAGCTTTAGCTAGATTCTGCTTCGTCTGGTCCTGTGCTGTATAACTAGCTTGGCTTTCAGAAAGGCATGCTTTGTACAGTGAGCCATGTAAACAATAAAAACTAGTATAGCAATTCCTAATCAGATTTAACTTATTTGAATATTATTATGTTTTAACAATTTAATGCAAAAGTCATATGAACAAAAATGACCTGTGCATTTGCAAACAGTTTTAATTAAATGTATAGTTAAAAACAAAAAAAAACATTAAGAAGAAGTTAAGGGTTGATCTTTTCTAAAATTCTCTGATATTTAAATTAAAATAAAAAACATTAAAATGCGGTGTCAGCATATTCAGAAAAATCAATAGTTAGCTTTCCTTTTTCTACTTTCCAAATTATGCTTGAGGTTTATTCAGAAAAATAATATTAATTTTCCTTTATGCTTCTTACTATCAAATAATAAGTCATTTGCAGGTGGTCCAAATGCCTGTTAAGGGGTGTCTGTGCTCCGTATAAGCCCTCTTTCATGCATGTGAAAAGGAATGTGGTATTTACAGCATTACATTTACTACTGCATTTCTGTTCAAGTATAGAATTTTCTAGATTGCAATCCAAAAGGCATAAAATCACTTTTACTATATGTAACTATCTTCATAGTAAAATAATTCTCTCTATAGCAGCTTTCACCAAATAAAGTTTCAAGAATTCTCAGGAAAAAAAAACTTCCTCTTATTGTGCATGACACGTTGCCTTTATTTTCTTTATTAAGCAGCTTAGGAGGAGTTAAGGAGTGGACATCATGTGATGCTTTCTGCGTACCATTTTGCTGTCGCTTGTATTAACCCGTTCTTACAGGGCCTGTGTTCGCTAACTAATTATTTTTTCGTTCACTCCCCTCCCCTCCTGCTTTCTCTTTACCAATTATTCCTTTCTTCTTCCTGCTGCTTTGTCATCCTGTCTGCTGCTCTCTTCTCCTGCAACCAGCCTGGCCTCCAGGTTAGTAGTACACAGTGCCATGCAAGCACCGATCTCCAACTTTACACACATTTGTTCAGAAAGGTTCTACCACTCTCGGCAGCTACTGAACACACAATTGAGTTCTTGTACAGTACAGTATGTACTGTAGTAACATGTCGTGCTTTTTTGTTGTTCATGGAAATAGGAAGAATCCATCTGAACTCAGAACACACAATGTTCTGAATGTTGTGTAAGTTGAGCCCCCAGTCAGATTAGACATCCCGCCTCTAATTAAAAAAATATCTGTCTGCAGAAGATCAGTGGCAAAGTGTTTGATAACAGGCTCGACTTGTTCAGTCTTGGTCAGCCCCACAGTTCACCCTCTGAGGATTAACTAAATCGGTGAAGTTCAACGTATCGGGTCTTACTAGCTGGGCTGCCCGAATTACAATTGCAGAACGCTTTTTTTTTGTGGCTTAGTATGTGAGGGGAAATTTAGGGGGGATACTAACATTGACAATATGTGTGGAGTTTGTCAATATTGCAGTGTGGAACAATGAATAGGGTTCTGGCCCTATGACTAGAAGGTTGTGGGCTCAGATTCTAGGTGATTGTGGTTGTACCTGTGAGTGAAGTACAGTATTTCCCTTGGGTTAAGTAAAATTCCCAGCTGTATAAAAGGGTACAAATGCAAGTTACTCAGCGTAAAGGTGTCACCCAAATAAAATTAGTAATTATTTTGGGGAGTAAACAGTGTTTTCAAGAAACATGTCTGCTAATGTGGTGTTGTGGTTTTGGACTTAAAGAAGAAACTTAAAAAAAAGGCCCGTGCACTGAAACCATATATTTAAACAGAAATCTATTGTAACGACAAGTATGAAATAGTCTAGTAACTATTTTTTTTAAATGCTATTTCCCTCGTCAGCACACTCACGGGTCAAGTTCCCCTGTCAGTCCGTGGGAGTGCTCAGACAGATCTGGGCCTATCAGTGGGACTTCAGTCTAGACTGGTAGCTAAACATGCCCGATTTCAAATCTGTGAACCGGTCAAATACTTAACATTAGAGGCTGTGCAGTGCGTTGTTTTTGCAAGGTGTGTAGGAGCAGCCCCCTCCTTTGTTAAAATACCATTCCTGCTGATATACAGTAGAGCTGTGGTATAATCGTGCATAGGACATACTACTAATATGGCTCTCTGAAGATACAGTAGCTCGTACAAAGTCGGTTTAGCTTGACTTGGTGCTTCCCTGTTATCTTTGGCTGTCAGACAAAAGGATTCTCGCCAGCACGGTCTCTGTCACTAATAATCCCCATCCAAAAATGGAATCCGTAGATTTATAACAGGGATAATTCCTACTGAAATGTACTGTACCATTGCTTTCCATAGAGTTTTATATTGTGATGTTTTAGCTTAATGTGTTTGACGTTGAGTGCCCTTAAAAATATAAGGTGTGTCTAAAAATATAAGCGCATAACGTCTTTTGATGAGTTAGGGGATAGCGCTGATAAATGATGGCGTTGGGCAGACTTTGGTTTCAAATTAAACAAAGTAAAATAAGAATAGAGTAGGCGCAACATTTCAAGTTTTTGTCAGTTGTTTGCAAACTCCTCACTGGTCTCCATTGACATGAAAACCTTGGTAAGATTAGGAGTAGGGATTCTTTGGAAATAAAGCTAAAATGTGATTTTTAACAGATGTGACCATATACCGTAGGCTCTTTGCAGTCCAAGTTTATTGGATAACTCTGTAGTTTATATTGTTATATTTCCAGATTTTTTGTTTTTTGATTTGATTAAATCCCATGTACATATTTCAGACTTCTTTGTGTTCGTGTGTGGGTCTATACGAAGATAGACGGGTGGAGAGTAGATTTCAGATTTAGTTAGCAGGGCACGTACAAATACTTCTTTTAAGGGTAGCTTGCAGAGATGTTTTTCCGAAAGCAGGGGTTAAAGGGAGAGATGCAGCAACAGCTGGTAAGATAGCTGAGAAGGTTTCTTTCTGTCATTTCTGAAGGATCATTATATGCTTAGTGAAACACCATCTGAATTGCATTATAGTAGTAAAAATAAAATGGTTTCTGTGAGAAGTGTAATTTCAGACTATCAATTAAAAAATAATAAATCTTTTTAACATTCTTTTTAGAAATGCTCCATAAAGTAACAAAAATGTTACCAATGTAAACTGCAGTAATTAAGTCCACCTTCAGTAACACAAACCACCTGACTGTATAATATAAACATTTTACTATCATTTTTTTGTGGTCTCGGTAATATAATCAGTTGAATGAAGACAATTCTGATTAGCGACACCCAGGCTCCAGAAATCTATGAAGCTTCCAATAACAGTAATGTGTTTACAAGTGTGACTGTACATTTTCCTTGAAGACATTCGGGCTCAAAACTGGACTGATTAATCAAAGATTCACATCGCGCAATGTCATGTACTGTACATCACGCAATCACTGCAAAACATTAAAGCTGACTTTACACCCCTGACGTTCTTTAATAATAACTTCAGTTTATTATTAGATTGGAGTCATAATGAATGAAATTTTTATATAAAATATAATTATTTCAATATTTGTTTCCGGAAAAATTATTCTGTAGAATCCCCTCTAAACCGCCTTCTTGCTTTGTACATTAAGATTTCAGAAACAGACACTTTTCTCCTATTAACTTGGTCACCTATTGATGCTCAAACCTTCTAGTGACTTTTTTTAAAGCAGAAATGGACCCGTACGCCAGGTCAGAGGATCCCAGTGTGACAAGCGCAGGGAAAGCTCTGCAGATGGTGTGTGTAATCAGAAGGACACTTCCCATTTTCCTTGGCTTTCTCATAAAAAGACATTTATTATGGCAGTTGATTATCTTTTTCTGTCTTTCTGTACTTCAATCTGAGGGGAAAAAAAAAAACATCTTGGAACTTTCACAGCCAAAAATAAACCCAAGCTGCTTGCTTTGGAGACGTGCATAAAGATCATTCCGCTTGGAAGATGTTTTGAGGAAATCTGAAAAAAAAAAGACTTTTATTACAGATGATGGAAGGACTGAATGTTTCCATATTGTGGTAATATCTTTTAAATGTTTTATAGTTTAACGTTTGTTGCATTATGCATACTTCCTACTTTATAGTTTAGGGATATCCCTTCCCAGTCTCTGTTCTTTTCCAAAAGCCTCATTATCTTTCTGGTCCTTGCACATCTTTTATTTCTCTTTACCCCACATCTCTGAGGTATTGGTGAGGGTAAAAGGACATTTAAGAAAGTTTCCTATTGCTCCAGCTTGCTGTGAGAGTGAGGGGTGATGTTTTTTTGGAAACTTTCAAATTGGTACTGCATAAGGGCACACACAAAAAAAGAAAATCTGGAAAAAAAACTTACGTCGGATGTTCCTTTGTGCAACTCGTTTTTAAATAGATTTAGTGGATACGTACAGTAAGAAGGATAACAAAATGAAACAAGTATGAAGGTCTGGCCCTGCGTTTTTTTTTTAATTCTGGACTATTCTTCAGCAGGAAGAATAAAGAAATTTCTCAAAACTTTTTTTGTGTACCCGCTGAGGAGATAAAATGAGAGACTGAAATGTGACATTTACTTTCAACCATTGTACACAAAACTGGTACTAAAACACTGTTATATATTTGTGCTGAGGCCCTGCCCCCCTTTTAAAAAAATATATGCTAGCTCTATATAAATATTATGCTATTCCTGTGTGTATGACTATTTATAGTATATTTATGTATTATCTATATTCTCCAACAGCTTTTATAGTTAGTTTGCAAACTGACAGCTGTAGCAGGCTCTATCTAAAGAAATCGTGTGAGGTCTACGTTGGCTTCCAAGTGAAACCAATAGCCTCTTGTTGACTGTACACGCGTCAGTTTGACATTTTCAAGGGCAGCTTATGGGTGTAGCTTTAAGATAATTTCCTTGGAGAAATGCGGTTACAGTTACCCTCTTGACCTTAAATTGAAAAGGAGCTCTTTAATGAGCACTGAGAGAATCTTGGAGATATTTGAGCTGGGAGAGAGGGAGGGAGTGTGAGTCAGTGTCACTGTAGGGTTAAATATATGCGTTGGTTTCACTAACGAGATATCGAACCGGTGTTTCTTTTCATTGGAGTTGCTGTTGTGTGAGAATCATGTAAAGATCCCAAGTTCTGAAAGCTGTCATTACTGCTGGGCCCTTACTTTATCTTTTCTTCATGGTAAAAAAAAACAAAAAACATTGAGAAACTTAGTCATGGGATTTTTCTATCTTTTAGTGTCCGAAGAAATTAGATTTTGTGTGCAAAATAACAATGTAGCACAAGTCATGCTGCAAGAATATCACCTTTTCTAGATATTTCCTAATAAAAAAGATACTTTCCCCGGAAGAGCACACTAGTTTTCATTTTGCATTTAGTAGAAATAAGAGAAATCTCACTGATGGATAATAAATTGGGGTATAACAGGATTGAACCTAGGACTCTTCAAAGCGCTGGCCTAAACACACTGCTCCTGATTTTGCTGTTATTATATGAAAATATTGAAAACGCAAAGGCCTTTCTAGGCCATAATTTTTTTACTATCTGATCTAAAAGAGCCAACATCAGTTTTAGGGCTAAACCAATTTTTCAGACTCACTGTACGTGTGATTGTTTTTAAATTTATAAAGACATATTAAACTCGTGAAGATACTGTACATGTACTTTATATAGAGAGAGAATTCCAATGACAAAACAATAAGGGATTGGATATTCTGAGAAATTGTCGAGTTTCAATAACTCCTAAATAGAGTAGAAGCACGCATAATAGTTTTATTGAGAAATGGGAGAACATTCCAAATCACTGAATTTGCTCCCTGCTCTTTGCTGCAAGTTTAAGAGCAGAAGAACATTTACAAAATCAGCGGAGACCATTCGGCCAGTTGAGCCCATTTCGTAGGTAGTAGCTGATCCTAGGATCTCAACAACACGGCTGGGCAGCTTGTTCCATGCTCCCACAACCCTCTGGGTAAAGAAGCATCTCCTTTTAAGTGCGTTTCCGCACTTGTTTA